TGTGTGTGTGTGTGTGTGTGTGTGTGTACACAGTAGTGTGCTAAAGTTTTGGACCACTGCTCGCTTTGTATGATGTAGCCCTGTTGTGCATCCTGGTGTCAAGAAACTATATTGAATAGAGTTGAGAAGATTCAGTTTGACACAAAAAATGAATTAGGTGCCATTATGGTGTGAAGGAACGAGGTGGAAGGAAGTTAACGAGTTTCATTAAAAAAAGAATGCCACCATCTTCATGTCAAGGAACTATGTTGAAGTTTAGTTGAGTAATTTCAAATAGAAAAAGGTTATTTTACATCATCTTGATGGCAAGTCGTTACTTGTAGGGAGTTGGGGTTTCATTTACACAAAAACCTTTGGCACCATCTTGATGTCAAGGACCTATGCTGGCCAAGTTAATGAAGTTTAATTTACATAAACATACATTTGGCGCTATCTTGTTGTCATGCACCTTTGTAGTACTGAGTTGAGGAGTTTCAGTTAGACAAAAGCAATGTTTTGCGGCCAGCTTGTGGCATTTTGGTGTCACGAAACTAGGTTGATGCAAGTTGAGGAGTTCCATTCAAATCAAAATGGTGCTTTGGTACTATTTTGTGGCATCTTGGTGACAAGAAAGAAGAGAAATGAGCTCAGAAGTCCCAGTTTGACATGAACCCATCTTGTCATCAAGTAACTACATTGGAGCAAGTTGGGGAATTTCAGTAACTAAAAATAGTTCTTTGGCACCATCTTGGTGATTTAAAAAAAAAAAACTTTCTCTTCGATAAATACCAATGCTTAAAAAAAAGCAAATTTCACAGTGGACTAAGACTTTTGTTCACTACTGTGTGCGCGTATGTGTGTGTGTGTGTTTTGCTAGTGCAGGTAATTGTCCACGGAGGCGAAGGCGCAGGAGCCGCTGCCCGTTCGCGCCATGATGGCGAGGCACTGGGCGGCCTGGCCCACCGCCTGGGCCAGGGGGGGCTGCTTGGGCAGGTTGTGCGTCTCTGGGAAGGTAACCAGACACAAGCGGCAGATGTCAATTTAAAAAAAAAAAAAGGCCCCGCCCTATAAGACAGTTGCCACGATGGTGCCACCTACCGAGTATTGCACTGTTGAGTGTGGAGCACACAGGCTCCCTCTGGATGGCGTCCAGCTGGTAGCCCACCGGGCTGCTCCAGGGGTCTGAGTAGGCCAACAGACTGAAGGCGTCCTGCGGTGGCGTAAACACACACACACAAAAACTTGATGAATTTTTAGTGTGTTATAGTCAAGTGAATCCACAAGAGTTCTTGGAGATGAATGACAAAGGCAGCCAAACTTGCAGTTTAGTGGGAAAAGGCTAAAAGAAAAAGTCAAGTGAATCGAATACTGCAGGTTCATTTTTTCGCACCTGCTGCTACTTTGTATTTTTAATTTTTTTCCATGTGGAAATGAATTTGCATACAAACTGCCATTTAGGGCTGACCAGTTCCTTTTGCCGAAAGGACGAAATCGAACGACAAACCAATGAAGTTGGGACATTGTGTAAAACATCAAAACAATACAACGATTTGCAAGTCAGGTTCAACCTACATTTAATTGAATCAACTAAGACAAGAAATGTAATGTTCAATATTGTGTTATAGCTTTTAATTTAAATTCACTGACAATTTATCTTATAAATGAAAGAGAATGGTAAAAAGAATGCTATTTGATTTCTTTTGTCAGTCAATAGTGAGTAAGATGGTATTACTTAAAATGTGACCGGCTTGACTCAAGTAATGACTCGCCCTAAATATAGTTGTTGCTTTTTTTTTTTTTTTCCCCTCCCCTCTCCCTTGTGACCTGCACACACTCATGGCTTCCTCTTACCTTGAGCATCTTCTTGTTGACAGAGTTCTTGCCGCACTCCCTGCGGAGATGCTCGCTCATGCTCTGCAGCTCTCGGCCGAAGTGGATCATCCTCTCGATGGCCGCCTGGCTGCCGCCGCACAGCTGGCGTTTCGCCTGAGCGGATTCCACCTCTGTGCACAAACCGGACGTGTCACGCGCGCACGCGATCGGACAGATGCACTTGCGTCCACGAAAAGACACGTAACCCATGTCGGCGTCGCAGTCATCCGGTTCGTTGACGTGTTTGGAGGAACCGTTCAGGAAGCCGTTAGAGGACGACTCCGTCACGCCGTTGGTGAAGTGCTCGACCTCCATGTCCACGTCACTGATACGCACACGCAAAGCAAAATGTCAGGATGTCACAAACAAACACACACACACAACACACAAACCATGGCACGAGCACACAGGCCACATCATGTCACACGCACAAAGACATACTACACACAGTACAGATGATGTCACAGGAGCACATGCTAATGTCACAAACAAAATGCCACTTTATACACACATCACATGTACAGACAAGATGTGAAGCACGCACGCACGAACTCACACACACAAAGAGTAAGTGCCCCACCTGGTTCCCGTCGTCTGGCTTCGGCTCCCGTTCAAGCTGAGCTCTGACCCTGGGGGGCAGGGCTTATGACTGTGAGGCGCAGAGCCATGGCTCCGATTGGACGTCACGCCATTGCAGCAGTTGCTGTCCACACCTGCGGACACAGAGGGGTGTCCTTTTGAAAATGCCTTTTCCACCCAAACCTTCCCACCCCCGCACCCCTCAAAATTTCTAAATGGTACAGTCCAGTCAAGACATTCTTTTGAGTCAGTTGGAAATGCTCCACCTCCGTCGCAGTAATGAAGCTGGTGGGTGGGGTGAAAAGTACGGCACGGCGTACCTGTCAGGTTGGATTGTGAGCTGCCAGCTTTGTGGGCGGGGCTGCCAAAGGGCCGGGGGGAGCCGGGGTAACTGTCCTGAGATTTGGGGCTGCGACCCCCCAAGCACCGCACCTCGCTATCCGTCCCGTTCACCATCTCGATGAACTGTCTCACCCTGAACACATGGCAAGAAATGGCACGGTATCGTAAAAATCACCTTGAGTGACACTTTCAATACATTCATATCGTGAAATGCAAACGGGGTGATCTTCGTCACATTCTATGTGGCGTGCGTGTTAAGATGCATAGCGAGCGAGAGCTGTACTTGAGCATGAAAAGCAGGTCCGGGTTCCTCTCCAGGAGGTTTGGGTAGAGCTGCTGGGTGGTCTCAATGGCCTCGCCCATCCTGCCAGACAGCACCAGCTTCTGGATCTCTGCAAACCACCCACAAAAATGACATTGAGTGGCAGGGCTGCTATGAGCCAATATTTTTAGAATCCATTATTGGTCGAATGGCATCAAACTTGATTTTGCATAAAAAAAACAAACAACAATACCAATATGAACTAGGCAAGTGTCATGCAGGTGTCATTTTTGTACATCCTTGAGTTTTCTACACAGTAGTCTGGTGAGTGACGTGGGTGTCGGCAAATGAGCGTCATGATGGACTCACTCTGCCGGTTCTTGATGGAGGCCAGCTCCTCATGCACGGCCTGGTCGGTGGTCTTGGCAAAGGCTTCGGCGGTGGCGCAATAGCTGTGGTGTACCAGGTAGGATGCCACCATCCTGCGGGGAAGACGGGAGACGCCGTGAAGGAATTGCTGCGGGCCGGCGGTGATCAGCAGATCACATGCCATCTCCAGGAAAAAAATCAACTGGTGAACCGCAATTACATTTCCGATTTTCAAATCATCTTGTTTTTTGTTTAAGGCAGGGGTGACCAACCTAAGGACCCCCAAAAATGGCACCTATGAAGAGACACACTTACGACGCACAGTTTAAACTGCAACCTATCAGTTACGCGGAGGAACATGGGAATCGAGCAGCCACGAATTCAAGATCAATGAATTCATCGGGCCATCTATCAATCCGGGCAAGGGCTACCGTGGCACAGCAACATCCGGCAGGTTACAAGGAAAAACTGGCCATCTGTCGCTCATACTGCAGAAAAAAGGCTGCCGACAAACACATCCAGCCCAACCACATCACCAACGTGACCGAGGTGCCGCTCACTTTCGACATCCCGGCGAGCCACACTGTCGAGGATAACGGGACCAGCAGCACGGTAGCAATACGCACAAACGGGGCAGGAGAGGTCGGCTTTTACTGTTGTGCTTGGTTGCCATGGTAATCGACAGAAACTGCCACCTATGGTGATTTTTAAGAGAAAGACGCCGTATCAAGAAAAGTTTCCAGCCGGGGTGATTGTTCAGGCCAAACAAAAGGTCTGGATGGACGAGGAGAAAATAAAAAGAGCGGCTGAGTGAGGAGGACGTAAAAAGACCAGATGTTATTCACGTGGCAGTTTCCTGTTCAGTCACTAAATTCAAGGTGAACTACATCACACTTGAAGACAACAACACGGTGACGGAGCATCGGCAGCTTGACAACTTCCTGCTTTTAATCCGGAGCCCCGACGAGACGAGAGAACAGCAGGCCCAACAAATGCAGATTAAATTCAGGAAGGACAAGCAATCATAGCAGCACAAAGAGATAATCCTGTCAGGGCATGGCGGGACCACAGACACACACAGTGACATGATGGAGAAAAGTGTGGTTGTGTGCACAGCATTCTCTGACAACTTGTTGACAAATGATGTATGTCAATAATTTTCTATACAGTAGTGCCTTGCAATATGAGTGGCCAGATTTATGACGTTTGTTGTTAGAACTTTTTTTTTTTTTTGCTTTGACTTGCGAGCCCAGACTTGAGATACCTGCACTGTGCGGTGACAGTAAACTCCCTTCACAATGAGCAGTAATTAAGCGGGCAAAATATAAGAGCAATTATTTTCCCAAAGAGGCTTCAAGCTGTTTATTGACACTCAGAGGTGAAGTTGATGATAAAAAAAATAAATAAAATAAAGACAATTACACATCCAGTATTTAAAACAACCAGAGTTTAGCCGCACTCAGAGGTGAAGTTGATGATAAAAAAAAATAACATAAAATAAAGACAATTACACATACAGTATTTAAAACAACCAGAGTTTAGCCTAAGATGTCCACTAGCTTAATGCTAATGCTAACACAGAATGGGAAATAACAAGACAGGCAAACGAAGAGCATCTAAAACTTTTAAGCAACAGCTATTTGAACTCAAATGAATTGAAGCAAAAAGTGTGCCAAAAATGGTTCATCTTTACATTCGGTTTAATGATGTCATTTAGGTCCATTTTAATAAAGTACAAGGGTGGGCAAGTGGCCCCCGAAGTCATTTTGAAGCTATCATGCTTTCGCTAGCATTTTTATTCTGAGATGTATTACTGCTGTTTATAACTGGGTGCTAGACATCAGACTGTTGAGTCCTCGATTGACATTTTCTGCCAGTGAATGAGTCCCTGACCAGGAAATACAGTGTAGCGCGCTATGGAGAAGCACTTGCTATAGTTTGCTTTAGCCGTAGCTTGATGCTACACCGCACTACCTGGGGGGTTTTACTGGGTTGCCCAAAAGTCATAGTTGTGGTTTCATGTTTGCAAGTGCAACACAAACGGACCCCAACACAAAAAGAAGCGGATGTCAAAGGTGCTTTGACGCTTACTTTTGGATCATGGACTGCCACTCGCCCTCACGCTCGCCGATGGGGAAGCGGTCAATCTGCGCCTGGATCTTGGTCCTCCACTCGCGCATGTAGTCCTCGATGTCAAAGACAAACGGGTGTTGGCCAAAATTGGCGTCCACCACCTCGCCTGGTGTCTGAAGGCCCACCGTCGGGTACAAGTTGGGCTGTGGGCGCAAACGCGTCAACACACACAGAGTCAAGACCCAAAGTGCAACCTTTAAGTGCGAAAACTTTTGCCATTTTATTCAGCCTGTTTTCATCATGTGCGGCCGCTCATGTAAACTTTAACAGAGTCACTATGATCTCCCTGATGTGTTTTGAAGGCGAAGCACTTACTGGGAGGTCTGTGAAGGCGATGCCTGCAGAAAAACAAAGAGTCAGTTTGAAGAATGTGTCTGCAACATTAAATATATACGTTTTTTTTTTTTTTTTTTATATTCTGCTGACCGAGGCTATGTCCGTTCTTTGTGTAGAAGCAGGTGTTGTTGATGAGGTTGACGCAGCAGCCAATCACATCGCCTGTCGTGAAGGTGGGCCCGTACGGTTGCCCGGTGCCGGACGAGCAGAAGGAGTGGCCGTCGTCTCCGTGGTAACCATAAGAGTGCTTATCCCAACCTGGTAAAAAAGTACGTTGGACACCAGGACAAAAGGGAAAGTATCGTTTATCGTCAGCATTTGTTTTTAATTACTGGGGCTGGGGGTGGGAAAAAAAACGGTTTGCCTCAAAAGTAGAATGTAATAATTGATCATTTCCAAGTTTGTTGCAGATGCAAAGCACAAGCCACTTTCAGTGCTTTTGTTGGTTCTTTTTCATGCGAGCAACACTGGAATGAGGAGTTCACAGTGCACGGTGGAGAACCAGTTTGTGACGTTTCAAATGTAGGTTAGGAATCCAAGGGAAGAACAACACGCCCGCGTGTGCACTTCCCACTATTACGGAAACACACGCGCAAGTCTAACGCGAGATCTTGGACCAAGACGATTAACACGCCACTCTAGAAAAGCTCACAATTTAACTGTATGTTTATGGTTGCGCTTGAGGTACGGCGGACGTTTTTTAACAACGCTGTGTGGAGGCTCTCCATGCTGAAGCTAAGCTAACAGGGGCCACAGCGTCAAGTCAGTCACGCTTTACGTTCTGACAGTCAAAAGTGAACCGCTCGGGTGTGGTCACAGCCAAAAGGTTTGCCGGTGTCGTCTTACCAGGCAGCCGGTTCATGTTGACTCCCTGAGCAGAGAGGCCGATGCCCATGTACCTGAGAGCACAGACAACAGTCAAATGTTTCTCATTTCGAAAAAGACGATATGTTGGCCAGTCCAAATGAATGCCATTTACCTCTCACGGAAATTAAAAATGTGATAAAATTGACTGGAAACAAACTACTTTTTTTGTGATGGTGATTGCATATCTAATTAATGCAATTTATAATTTGAACAACCTTGAACGCTGGAGAGAAAAAAAAAAATCACATTTGTTGGAAAGCAATGATCAATATATTGCCGTTTTTCAACATGATACGGACAAAACCAAGAACTGAATCAGAATTTGTTCCTGCACTGTCGATTTGGAATAAAAGGATGGAAACCAAAACTTGTTTTTTTTAATCAAATTCATCGATTAATCAATAAAATGATTGACACATTAATCGATTCATAAGATAATCATTAGTTTCGCTAATGCATGTATTAACGTTATGCTAAAACCTAATTCTATGCCAAAAACACACCGCAGTTACTTTTCGTCTTGTTACTCAAAAGAGTTTCAGTGAAACCAAACAAAGGTACAACAAAATTTGGTTCCCTGAGATGGGCCAAATATTTATTTTTAGTAGCCGAATGTGTATTAATAGTCAAGATTTTTGGCTGGGGAAAATGTAAGCTTTTTAGAACAGTGCCACAAGCCAAAAGGCCCTTACACTACTTATTAGAATTATTACGCAACCAAAATCAATGTGCTATCCATAAAAACAAACAAAAAAAAACTAATAAGAGACGACTTGAAAAGTACATTTGATCCGTCGTCTTTGTGAACCAACGTGTGAGGTCACGAGTGTGGCGGTGAAAACAATGGGCGCACTGTCTTGGTTTTCTTCTTACCCGTCTCGGCCTTTGCTGATGATCTTGACCTCAAAGTAGTAGACGCCGCACGCCGCCGGGATGGGGTGCGTGGCCCGCACTGACGCCGCGTCCTTCGGAGTCTTGCCGTGCCCTTGGGGAAACACGACAAAACCATCAGGCAAACACACGTACGTTTCCAGTGCATTGGATTATGCACAATGTCTCCCGTTACCACTTGCTATATTGCAGATCATTGTTGGTTCGATTTTTGAGGGACAGGACAGTTTGTTCCATTTGCGACACGAAAGGTTCGCAAATCAAGACAATGCTTCTTAATGAAATGAATGGAAACACAATTGATATGTTCCGTCGTCAAAGTTATACTGCTGAGATATGAGTTTAATTCACTCCGCAAGCACACTGACGTCCATCGGTTTTTCCACTGGAATTAGCTTTATTAAAAAAACGAGAACAAAAAAAAAACACCATCACTAGCAGTTTTCTTTTTCTTAGGCGCATTCTGAGGGATAATTCAAAGCGATCATAACACAGTTTCTGTGTTTTCCAACCCAAGTCGGTTCACAAATAGAAAATAGGCCCCCCCTCCTCCCACCCCCACAAAGATTTTGTGTGAGTAACCCGATTTGTTTGTAAACCAGGTCGTTCATAACAGGAGGTTGCACACTGCACACAAGACCAAATTTAGAGTTCCGTGCTTTCAGTATATCACCTCACACCACAACCAGGGATGAGCATTCTGTCCTCGGGAGGTGAACGGTCCGGACGGACGCCCATTTTGGGGACGTAGGATGAGATGAGAATGTTTTTTTTTTTTTTTTAAAGGACGGACTAAGCAAGGACTTAATTGTGTCTTTGTTCATCTGTTTAATCATCACTAACCAGGTCAGGTACCTACGGACACCTGTGGACACCCATTTCACGAACCCATTTCACTAACGACTGACAGAAACACACCCAGGCCGTCTTGCCAATTCACTACTTCAGAATGAATGTGAATTATCATGGCGCGCCACATGTCTCGTGCGTGTTCATTGTGTGTGGATGCGAGAGGGAGTGATTTCGCTTGGCTTCAAGCGGAGGACAGGAGGAGCACTTGTCCTCCGTCCAAAAAGGTTTACAAATCGCCAGTCAAGTCTGGTGACTGACGGTAGTTGCGTTGGCAGCTAAATGCTATCTTGGTTGACACTTGAACAGTCGGGACCCGCTGCCCGCTCACCAAGATGCTATTTGAGGTACGGATTTCTAAAAGTTAACTTGTACAGTGGTACCTCGACTTGTGAAATGAATTGGTTCTGGAAGAAATTTCTGAACAGGAAAAATTTGTAAGTAGAGACGCGTTTTCCATGTAAATGCCCTAATCCGTTCCAAGCGCCCCCAACATTCAGACATAAATGTTTTCTAAAGCATAAAAACGCATCAAAATATGTAACAAATACGCATAACAATTACATTATTGTGCAATAAATGAGCTGTGCATAATATAAAAAAAAAAAAAACAAAGAATAGAGTAACGAATAAAAATGATGGTCATTATCTTTTAACTGCGTCCTCATCCTTTTTTGCCCTCTTTAGTTCATGTTCTCGCTCAGAGGTGGTTTTTGCCTGGCGTTTTGTAAAGAACTAATCCAAGGACATTTGTTTTTGACGGCTTTTCGTAACTTGAAAATTTCGTTTGAAGAGACATTTGTAAGTCGAGGTACCACTGTATTTTGATCATTATTTTATTTTATCATGATAGCTATTTTTTTTTGTGAAATAAGTAGCGTTGAGTTGCTTACCACGAAGACATTTCAAGATAAAGAAACAGTGATGTCATTGTTGCTTGATTGATGGGTCAGTCTTATCTGCAACAGCCCATCACTGTGTTACTGAAAATAAGGTTCCGTAAGCAGGCGTCTACGCGATGAAGACGTCAATGTTTGCGTGTGAGACTCCTGCGCATTTTTCCCCAAAGGGTGGCATTGTGTAATGTGGCAAGACATGTCATGTATTTTCTAGCTTATGGGTGACGCGTTTCTCTCGTGAAGTGACATAAAATTTCTCGTGAGCGCATCTATGAAGAGGAAAACATCCCAAAATCCCGAATACTTGGGTGATCATTCGAATATTTTCAGAGGTTGATGTGAGCCTAAGTAAAGATGTAAACCATTGATCGCAGTTTTCGCACATTAGGCGACGTTTAGATTCCAACATTACGGGTTTAGACTGTCACGGTGCGTCACTGTATGGCAAGGGAGGAGGGACATATTACATTCGAGTACACAACTAAAGGGCCATTTGAAACGTTTAATGCAATTGTCACGGTAGCCGCAAAATCTTTGTAAGTCTAAAATGAATCTAGATCGTATTTTACTTTTGTATATTATACTTTTACTTGTATATTCTGTAGCAGACAATTGTTGAAAAGGGTCGAAGCTATTTGTCAGTCCATCCGCCATACTGTATGTGGCTTGAATATGAGCAATAAATTCGGCAAATAATATTAAAAAAAAATTGTAAAATTGAGTTCGAATGACATCATGCAATCAAAAGAAATAATTCCGTATTCGTTTTTCCTTGATGATCTATCGTCAAAATTTCCTTCCCTTTGCCACATCCAACACGGCTGCGGCGTCGACGTACTCAAGAAGGTGTCTTTACGGATGTAATCTAACTGTCGTCTTTGATAATGCTTGCGGTTGTCGGAAAAGGCGCCATTCGAGATGGGTTTGGCAGTGCTGCGCGGGTATATGGAGCAAAGTAGGAGCTGTCTGTCGGGTATTAATTCATGTGGCCCCATTAAGGCTGGGCTATGGTGACGGGTCTGCCTCTGCTTCTCTCCCACGGCGTCATGCACGTACCCCCCCCCCCCTTGCGGACTGGCAAAACGCTTTAAAAGGACGAGGACGGATGGGGACGGAGAACGATTCTTATATGAATAATGACGGAGGGACGATGACGGAAGGGTGCCCAGGTCGCGGACGGAGGACAGACCGTCAAAATAGGGTAAAGTGTCCATTTCTGACCACATCATTCCAGGCAGCACTGACCTCTAATGGGAGAGATGCGGCGTGCCTAACAGAAGAGGAGGGCCCCAACTGAGCTCCAATAGGCTAATATTTATTCTCACAAGGCAGAGAAAATATCTGCCTGCAAATGTTGTTGTACGCGTTGCTGCTTCACGTGTGTTAAAGTTGGAGTTGAATGAAGATTGACGAGTAACATCCATGCTCATTTCCGTTTCCTGGGTCTAGCAATAAATGGGATTTCACAGCACCACAATTAGACTTCCAATGGTACTACATATCAATATCTACATTGTTCTCACAACCTACAATGTCTCTCTCTGGCCTCTCTCCCTCTTGACGCAGACAGACAGCAAGAATTAGATAGATGGACAGATGGCCGTCTTGCTAGAAGCAAATGTGTGGCTGGATGTAGGCAGATAGACAAAGATAGTGAATGCAAAATCTACACACCCCGGTTCACATTAATGAGGGAACACAAACATCTTGTATGCAACACCTGCGGACTACTCATGTGGTCCTTGGGGGTTGCCTATGAGCACCACGTAGGTGACCCCTCTTGTAGTTTAATTTCCACTAATTGACCACTAACATGGTTGTGTGTGACATCACAGAAAACCTTGTGACATCACGGAAAAGATGTCTTGATCACAGATGGATAAATCAAGAGTATTCAGCAGACCGTGACATAAACGGCATTCACAAATGTACATATTCCAAACTTCCGCTTGTTCTCTCTGTCTCTTTTTTTTGTTTTTTACTCGACCTCCAAACTTTTCATAACATTTGTAAATCATAGTCAGGCCACATCCCTTTCCAGTGTATCCTGACGTATAGGCACATCGATGGATAAACTATAGGTCAATAAATAAAATAGATACAAGAATGTATAAAAATTAGATATGTCTGAACGGATGTACAGTTAAATAGATTGATATAAAGTGGATTCTACAAACACCTTTAAACAACCCTGCATAACAGTTGTGCCAAATGGCCACGTTAGATGACACTGTGACATAAGCATGCCTGTTTGACCTCCCTTCCTTCAATAAGCCTCTAGAAAGCGTTGCTGTGTTCTTTTTGAGGACATTCTGACTGCATTTCCTGCCACAGTTAGCCCCCGATGCTACTCAATTAGCCCAACAAGAAAAAAAAATCCATACAAGCAGTCCAGCATTAGACTTTGGGCATTAAAGTTAACGTCTCACGAAAAGACTGACGGTTCGTTCGATTATTTCCTCCCGTCATTTTGTACAGTGCTGACTTGAGTGTTTTATGTTTTTCCTGCGCTTTATGAGCTAACCAGCTAGTGGGTGACAGAGAAAAGAGATCAGCAAGATGTCCTCTCGCGCTAACCTAGCCTAGCCACTTTGTTTTTAGCCTCGTCGCCTCGACGGGCATCTGGCTTTCATCATCCCGAGTGGGGCTCCCGTGAGCCAGCCTGTCGACGAAGAGACGTCGCTGGCGGCCGTGTCATTACCTTTATAGTGCACGCGAAGGTTGTTCTGCGACAGCCCGATGTAGCTGAACTTGTCCTTGGGGCTCCAGGAACGAGGCAGCGGCGTCTCGCTCTCGTTGACGGCGGGGTAAAGGCGTCGCAGGCGCTGGCTGAGCTCTTTCTCCTGCTCGTTGAGCGTCGAGTCTCCGTGGACGACCACCGACATGAGGAAGCCGCAGCCCGACATACTCGATGCTGTGCTCGAGTGGCTTGTCAGTGACAAGCCCAAGCCGCCGGTGTCCGTCAGTGTCAATTTGAGCGAGGCGCGGTGAAGCTAAAACTGGCTAACGGGCTAAGGTGGCCCAGAAGCAGCCGCTCCTGGGCTGCTCTGTCGCCGAGCGGCTAGCGCCTTTAGCTCGGCCACCTCCACCAAAAAGGCAAAGCGACCGTTGCGAGGTGCTCAGGTGGACATGGGCCGACCTCAAGGTAGACAAGACGGGAACGCTGCCTCGCTCGGCCTGTCACGCAGGTGGTGTGTGGCGGGGGGGGGGGTCGACAAGCGGTTGAAAAAGCCAAAAGATGATCAAAGTATTGAAAGGCTCCGTCGAGCTAGACGAGCAGAAAAGTCTCCAATAAAGAGCTCGCGCAGCGCAGATCTTTTGTTTGTTGACGGAGCTCGATCCGCGCTTGTGATTGGCCGACGCAGTCTGAGTCTCGCTCGTCATTGGTTGATGGGAGCTGCACTCACTTCCGGGGTTGGCAATCGAGGTAAACACAGGACTCCAAAAAACACGCGCGCGCGCATACACGCATATGCGCATGCGCGTGCACACGCTCAGACACACAGACACATACACGCGCGCGCTAACTCATCGTCATCAGCCGAGTCGTCACTTTTTATCATGTTCTTTATGACGACATCATAACCCCCCCCCAAAAAAACAACTCGGGATCGTGACACTTGGTGACATTTAGATTTACTGTGAAGCTACAAAAACAGGCACATCTTTTTAGTTTGGATTTTGAATATGTTATTTATATACTTATTTTAATTCATGCCTTTTTATTTATTTATTCATTTATTTATTTTTAAGAGCCAAGTGTTTCCTCTTGGGGGGCCTCCATGCTGGGAGGTGTGGTTGGTGTCACTCAACGATCAGGTCCCCTTGGGTGCTTTTTTTCCTCATATCGGTCCTCTGTGCCTTGCCATGTCTTTTTTTTAAAGATCAGGGTCATCGGGGTATGTGTGCATGTTTTGTTTGTTTGTGTGTGTGTGCGCGCATAGGCATGCTTGTCGGGATATATGTGTCTGTTGGGAAGGAGGTTGTGCTCTTTTTATGTTGTAATTGTGAATTTTTTTTGACTGCACGGCATTTTGAGTTGCATTTTCCAGATGAAAAGGGCTACAGAAATAAAGTTTAATTGATTGATCTTTTCTGCCCCAAATAACTAACACTAATGAACTAGCTCACACGTAACATTTTATTAACACGGATTCAAGTTACACGAATACATTGATGCATGTCAAACAAGAAATGTCAGACAAGCAAAAGGCAACTCAGGACATATATGGTAACGCTGTCATCACATATTTGAATTGATCAACAAGATCTTGTTCAGTCAAGCTTGGCCAGTTTGGATCAACAGTCATTGGACGTAAAGCAGCAGATTTTTAGGCACTGTTGAATTTACACAACTGATACTTGTCATCCCGTCGTACAAAACCACGTGATGATCACACGCACATGATGATCACTCACTGATTTTGATTTCCGTATAAAACAGAAGGTGCATTGTTCTTCAGTTCATTAAAATGCGTGAATATTTGATAAGCGGTTAAAACTCTTGATTTCAGTGAAGCACGATACGAACGAGCGCAACAAATGAAAAAGTTACAAAATATTTAAAAAGGACAAAGTAAAAAAATAAAATGAATCCAACCAGCAGGATGAAACTTTTAAAAAAAATGAAAAAAAAATCAAATTGAAGCAATTTGCAGTTACAGATTGTCACAGTAAAATTGACTGGCATCATTTTTACTGGGTTTTTCTATTGTTTGGGCATTCATTCCACGTTCATTCCACTCAAAACACTAGTCAGATGTTTTCATTGTTTGGTGAATGGCCAATAAATCCACCCAGACAAATCTAACCTAGCCATGACAAAAAAAAAAAAAAAACAACCACCTCAGACTGAATCTGCTCAAATCAGAACAGCAGACATCTTGTGTCTTTTTCAGCAGGTCCTCATGAGACTTTATTGTGGGTCTGCTCATGACAGACGTGACTACCAAATTTCACGTCCTTAAATCAAAGTGGCTTCGGGGGCTGAATTTTCAAAACATGAAACAATTTAGCGACACCTGGATATCTTCAACATGATATTGAAATGGCCACTTTGAACCAAAATGGCAGACTTCCTGTGTCTTTTCCGGCATGACTTCTTGAGACTTTTTTTTGTGAGTCTACTCAAGATATACATGACTACTAAATTTCACATTGTAAAGTCAAACTGGATTCCAGGGGGCGCTAAAGGGTCACTGGTGGGGGTTTACGCCTACAACCACCAATTTGCCTCAAAAAAGAGAAGAAAAAAAAACTCGAGCACAAAGCACAGATACCCTTACAGTGTGAGTTTGAGATACGGCTGCTGTATGGTGAGAGCAAGCTCAATTTGGAGTTGAAATTGACTCTCACACAAAACAAAAGAAATTACAACTTCTGCATTTCAAACGACTCAACCTTAAGAAATGCCCCTGCTTGCTTAATGCTAACACAACGTGGGAAACGCCATGCACATGCTAAGGATTAGCATTAATTCTGCAGTGTTCGAAATGCCCCTGCTAGCTTAATGCTAACACGTAATGGCTCAAAGGTTGTATCAACTCGTAATTCAAGGTACCGCTGTACGAATAAAGTGTGTTACGAGCTTGGTCAATGAACAAATTCAATTTGTAATAAGTAACGCCTCTCCCACCATACAGTGAATCAGTGTCGTCTCAGAATTTTGGCGAGGAAACCGGGGGCTTTGCCATCGCCTTCTTTGGTGGCAGTCTTGGCTCCGCCCCCTCCTAGGAGGTCCACTTCCGCCCCCAGCTGGTCCAGCTCCGCCTGGTCCAGCAACTCAAAGTCATCGGCTTCGCTGTCCGACTCTTCGGCCGGCTTCGGAAGTCTGAAGCCCAAGGCCGCCTCCTGGACGGCGGCGGTCATGGCACCCCGGAGCACTTTCTGGACCAGGTCTAGGGCCGCATCGTCGGGGGGCGGAGCGGTGCGCTTGCTCCCCATTGGCCGAGGAAAGCCAAAGTCATCATCTTCATCATCCTCGCCGTTGGTGGTGGCACCGTTGTCAACGGAGGGGAAGTCGTGGAGACCCCTGGAGAACACCTCCTCTCTGTCCAGGTCTTGGAGGGTGGGAGGAGCGTGTCAAAGGTCAAACTGCGATGTCATCATGGCACTTTATAATTATGTCATAAGTGAATCTGGCTCACCAAGCAGTTACGTTATCAAAAACTTAAAAGATTTGTTACTTTTTTTTAAATTCACATTTTTAAATAGATAAACAATTGGCTCATTCATTATACAGAACTAATTATGAATAAGATTGAAAGATGATACATGTTTCTTCTTATTATTATTCTGATTATTATTATCTCTATTTTATGATCAAGAGTCCTGGAATATTTGTTGCATTAACTAAGCCCTTTCTCCCTGCATAATTGATTAACGGTAATTATTTTTTCTGTTGTTGAAAAAGTAAACATTTCAAATAATTGATTATTTATTTAATTATGACTACGATTTAAATAAGTAAATGAATTATTCAAATGAAATATTCTCTAATTTCCATACATGCATTTTAATTCAAATGTTCAACGAATATTTAATATTTACATTAAAAAGACTACACAGATATTTGTTTCTTCAATTTAACTGTTTGGCCCCCAAATGTTGAAAATTTCTATTAAATTTTTCTTAAAATAATTTCCATACATGCATTTTAATTCAAATGTTCAATGAATATTTAATATTTACATTAAAAAGACTACATAGATATTTGTTTCTTCAATTTAACTGTTTGGCCCCAAATGTTGAAAATTTCTATTAAATTTTTCTGATTAAAAAAATAGCTACCTGCTTTATTTCAAATGGTAAAATAAAAATTGTTAGCAAAATAGACAATATAGTATAGTATTTTTTTCACCCTATTTTTTGTGTTACTCTTCAAACTGTGCATAATGTTGCAGTGGCTTATTAAAAAATAAATTAAGGATTAAAACCTAGGTCTTGTTATTATTTTTTTCCCCTTTGACTCAGGCTTACTCTGCAATGGCATTTTAAAAATCACCTTCAGAGTTCTCTGTCTGCGGCGTGTTCTCCTCTGACAGGTTCAAGTTGTCCGTCCACGTCACGTCCGACACCGACGTGTCCGAAACCGACAGCTCCTTACATGCCGCCGAGTCCAACTGACGACCACAAAACAAAATGCAACATCACATGTTTTCCTACACTCACATATACTGCAAAAGAACTCAAGCTCAAATGACGGGTTATTCATAATTGATGATATTGATCAAAGTGAAGATAGTGATCATGTGAATGATTTCTCACAAAGGATGATTTGACGACTGCTAATTTAAATCGCAATAACCAAAACGTTCTTTTACAACATTCCTCAGAAATCACAATGTCACATCACTGCTGAGCTACTGAGAAAACTTCCAGTAGCTTAATGCTAACACATAATGGCAAAACGGCATAAACGGGCTAACGATTCGCATCAACAGTCATGGCATTGTATTCAATCCTTTCAATAGGGGATATTGTAACACCAACGGGGGTGCAAAACATGTCGAAAGAAAATATTGCAACGCGAACAGGCATATATTCTTTATCCTTTATTCTTTCAGTGGAAGAAGGAGCCCAATGAATTGAATTGAAGCATTAACTCATGACGCATAACCTTTTTTAATTCCTCACATTCTTGATTAAGTTAGCTTAATTATGTTACCCTATGCTAACAAGGATCATGTGCCCACCTTGGGAAACATGGACGATAGGTCAGATTCGACCGACTCCTCAACCCGAGCCTTCAGGATTCTTCTCGCTGTGGGAACCGCACAAGAACACAACAGTCCAGACCACCGCCTAGTAGATCACAAGCTAACAAACTAGCATGTATGTTCTTTGTTTTGAAATATGATGTCATCACCGTGATCCTCTTTTATCTTCTGCAGCAACGCCGCCACGCCAAAGTTCAATTTTTGTAGAACCGGCTTCAGCCATGAGGACGCCTCCGGAGACGATAACACAGGCCACAGGAACACAGACAACACTGAAAAAAAAATGACAATACATTGGAATTGCCATAGTTAGTCATTGTTATTGATCAGAAAAGTCGTAGTTTACAAATAGGTCATTTAAAAGAAATGTAATTGATTCGAATGGTCAGCAATCGGAATGTTTCTTGATTAAGCACTCACCGAGAAAGTAGGAGATGACGATCCCTGGAATGTAGCGTCCGAGGACAGCAAAGAAAGTGCAGAAGCTGCACACCAGCAGACAGAACTGAAGGAGACCAAGACCGCACAGCTCATCATCATCATCATCATCATCATGATGAAGATGTAGCGACAAACAGCCTCACCTTGCCGGGGTTCTGCTGCTTAAAGGCCGATGTCTCCTGCAGGAACATCCGCAGAGAGCCTCTCAAGTGCAATTCTGAGTCCGAGTCCTGTGGCGAGTACGACGGGTCCATCATCGTCCAGCTGAAAGACAACCAACGTCGCAGTCGTCAAGTCTTGTGTTGAAAAGGCTTCACGCGTGTTAGCTTGACATCCAAAGTCAACTCGCTTGTGTTGCTGTGCCGTATTACTGTAGAAGAAAAGCACCAAACGTGTCACGAGAATACCAAAGTGTAAAGCTGCCACATCAGAAAAAAAAGAAAAGTTCGACATCACATCAATATGTGATCAAATTCAGATTTACTCGGATAACATGTACGTAATTAGCCAAAAACTATACGAACGATTTGTTTGGCGATTGTGTGATATTAAATTTACTGGAAAGAGAGCAGACTCTGACCCAAAATCCGCATTCTCCACTGAAGTGCTTTATGAAGCCTCATATTCACTTATTTGAAAACATATCAGTGTAGCCTACATCAGCGCGTTGGGGGGGAAAAAAAAAACATATCGCGATATCATGATAACACCACTCGTATCAAAACAGCGATTGCGAAATATGAGATCCACTGGAAGAAAAAGATTTATGTCAACAAATTTTCCTGTACAATGATTTGGCCAATTACACCGTGGACCACGATACGGTGATTTATAAAGTAATGACGTATTTTGCAAACAACCTACGATACACAATCTTTGTACTTCTTTGTCACTTTGTAACAACTCGATATTAAACCAATATATTTTGCCAACAGTACAAATCGTATCACGATACAGCGATTGTTCGATACGTTGGCGAAAAATAACATCGATGTCACTCAAGAAATGATGTCAACGATATATTAGGAAGTCTCTTGGTTCTTGACTCGTACCTCAGTCCTGCTCCACGGTCTTGAAGTAACACGCTGGCCGATTGGTCCAAAGCAAAGTTAAAAAAAATGTTTAATTCCAGGCGTTGGAGTGTGCGTTTTTTAATCCCAGCTGTGGCACAACGCGATGGGGACGCGCGTTTACGCTAAATGAAGTCCGGCTGGCCTATTTGAAGGCCGGCGCGCTAAAAATAAGAACAGTTACGCTACTTGGTGACGAAGGCCGACAGCAGGACGGCATACTCCTGCACTGTGCGAACACACACACACACACACACACACACACACACACACACACACACACACACACACACACACACACACGCACGCACACGATATGTGTCTGTCTTTAGTCCCTTTCCATTTAAAAACTTTAAAACCTTGCCAGTCAACACCCGCTTGGTGTTGACTGACGGCTGCCGGCTTATTATCACATTAATTTGTGTTTTTAAATATGAAAAGATCAATATCGTCATCACAAGAGATGAAATTGTTTGTTTGCTTGTTTGTTCGTTTGGTTTACTCTAGCTGCCTCTCGTCCAATCAGAGAGCTCGCTGCGGAGGGTGTGCATGACTTGCCCAACCACATGATTGGTGCGACTACCTGGCTGTGCCAACGACATTCCGGATGTGAGGAAAAAGCTGAATCACACACACACACACACACACACACACACACACACACACACACACACACACACACACACACACACACACACACACACACCTGCAAACGGACATGCACACGTGGCGTTCAGGTTTCACAAGTGTTGGGACACTTGGGAGGTTTTGTTGTGGGAACATTCAGGGCGTCTTTCCTCGAAGACCACGACATCGCCCGCTCCAGGGTCACATGATGTTTGTACACTCGGTTATGACTTGCACATGCACACGCGGGGCGGTTTCACGTGTTGCCGTAGCAACAGACCTTGATTGACAGCTACAAGAGGGTCACATGATGTTTGTACATTTGTGCTAGTGCGATATACACACAAATTCTCACCCACACACCCACACGCACACACACACACACACACACACACACACACACACACACACACACACACTTACACACAGGCACAATTAAGTAGGTGATATTTGCGTGTGGGTGTGAGCGTGTGTGTGCGCAAAGGCGTCAGCTGTCAGCAGCTCTAATCTCCCACAATCCTTTGCATGAGCGCACAAGCCAGTCACATGACATTGGACGGACAGACACAGGTGACAAACACCAACAACATGACAGCAACAGGAGCGCCAGTTTTGAGAGAGAGACAAATACTGAAGATAAATAAACAGACAGACAGGCGGGCGAGTCACCCAATTTAGAGTTACAATCACATAGCTTTGCCTGAGTCTCTTTAGCTTAATGCTAACTGATACTGCAAAACAACAAAGCCGGGCTAACAAAGTTGGCATCAATGTTGCAACGTTATAACCCCCAACAGATAATTTATTTGTGGAGCAAAACATGTACACAGTCAACATCACCGAATGATGTTACATTCTCATGTATCTTTTTTAATATATGTATTTTAAAATAAAGTAAGTAAAAACAATACTCATGGTTATATATTCTTTATCCACCGCAAAGAATGACTAATACTTCAGCAGCTTCCCGAGAAGCTGAGACCTTCTACATGTGCAGTATCGGCATTTGTCTGCATTATACTGCCCACAGGATGTCAAGGTGCGCGCACCGGACGGAACGGCACAATGTCCATTGAAAGGAAGCAAAAAGGTGGCAAAAATTTTTGGAATTCCATTTAATTCCAACCACTCAGAGCCACATACCTAGGGACAATAGAAAGTGTCCAATTGTTTTTAGAATGTGGGAGGAACCAGAGAACCCGGAGAAAAGGCCAGGGCCCACAATCAAACCCGAGACCTCCGAATCGTGAGGCGGACGTGCTAACCAGTCATCTGACGTGCCAGCATGATTCATTTTATAAAAACAAACTGAGCCATGATTGGTTGTTACCTGAGCCCTAGGCAACTGTTTATGTCATTTTTAGTCGGCACAAAGTGGCAGAATGGCCGCCCACCGAGATGGACAAAAACAGGTGGTTTTTATTGATTAACTTCTATTCCCCCAAACGCAATATTAATCAGAATCCTGTGCTTGGACGAGTAGGCCTGCACGGAACTTATTGTTGGAAGGAATATTTTATAAAATATGAGTGTTTTGAGTTGATGAATTATACTCGTATCTCAAGGCAGCACTGTACTCTGCATTTACGTGAGAGCACGACAAGGGGATGTTCCGCACCCTTCAAATCGACATCCTTTTGGATTTTTATAAAAATATGTGTTTCCAATTGTGCACAAAATTGTAAAACAGGTAAATATTTTGGGGCGCGCGTGTCATGAGCGTGTTGAATTTTCTTACCTCGCCAAAAGGCTGCACCACACGCCATCTCCTGCAAATAACACAAAGCAGGAATTCATCATCTGACTTTTGAAACCAGCTGATTGGACCAAAGCATGACTAAATTAAGTGACTGGATTTGAAGTCTGGCAATGCAAAGGCGCGCGTTTGTGACCTTTGCTTCTGGAGCCAATTGCGTCCTTGACCGTCACCATGACAACCAACAGAAGCAGGAGGATGGTGACCAAGCAGTAAGTTCGCATCCAGCTATGGGCCAACAACCTGCACGGATCACATTTACATCGGTACACTGGGTGCCTTGAGATACGAGTGGAAATTGAAATGAACGGAAATATCAACCAGGCACTAGGAAATTATTTTTGAAACACATATTTCAATACGAGTACAAGTATTCACTCTTGAGCAGTCGCAGATACCCATATCATGTACCGATACCACATACAGAAAATTTAAAATGAATACTATGACAGGTATTGACGAACAAAGAACTTCTGTCTTTCTGACACACGATGATTCATTGATGTGTGCAACAGCCGCAGTGAAGCACCACCAACTAGCAAGGAAGACTTATCGATGTCAGATATTTTTTGCCTTCAGTATTGGTGGCTGGTATCATCATCCTTCACGAGTACCCGATAAGGACGGTATCGACCCGATACCTATATGTATGTGGTATCGGTGCTATCGATATACACACACACACACACACACACACACACACACACACACACACACACACACACATATATATATATATATCGATATATACACACTTGCACATTTTAATATTTTGTATCATGAGCAAAGAAGACAGATGCTGATGCACTTCAATCACTTACACATCTTATCCTGTCCCGCTTTTTTTTATCCCGTCACACACACACACATCTAAAACATTGGAGGCTGGGGGGTGCCTCCTCCGCGCCGCCTGCCGAGTTTACTGCTTCCAGGTTTGCCAGCATCAAAACTCCGCCACCGCCCGCTGAACAGCCGAACTCCTCCCGTCAAGAGGTCCGCGTCGACAAAAGTGAACTACGACTTCTGGTGGTGGCTTTTCAAAATACAAGTCAGCTGTTCAGTACCGGAAGTAAACGAAAAAAATTTGACGGGGGGTTTTGGTACTGTATTAGGATTTTTCACATTTTCAAATACCCCCCTCCCCCCCACGTTTCTTTTTGAAAGCATTGAGCACAATGACAGGAGGAGGGACAGGAGATGTGAGCCAATCTCTTTTTCGACAATGGACGCTCCAGCTTCTTGTTTGCTTTCAAACTTAGCTTGTAGCAGACGTGTGCACATTTTCAGCATGACGTCTTTGATCCA